CCCGGACGCGGCGGCCGGTGCGAGGGGGTTGCGCTGCCCTGTCCGCCGCTCTTTGGCCCGCCAGAAAAGCAGCCGCCCGAAATGCGCCTCTGCGCAGCCCTCGCCGCGTAGCTTTTCCAGCGGTAAAAGGGAAGAAAAAAAAAAAAAATCTCGGCGTGTGTTCTTGCTACGCTGAAAGTTTCAGGAAGCTCCTTGCACGATCCTGTTTTCGGCCGAGGAAAGCCTGCTACCTGTTTCCTCCCGCTGCCCCGAGGCCCAGCAGCCAGCCCCACACCTGCGAGCACCAGCCCCAGCCACCATGTCTCCCAGGAGCAGCTGGTCCCCGACTTACCTACTGGTAATCGCGTCTCTCATACCCGCACCATCCCAAAGCCAAGACTGTTCAGTAGAGAAAATGGAAAATACCATCATCGACATAAACTTGGCACTCTCCAAAGGCATCAGGGGTACCGAACCAGTTTATACTCCAACCCCAGAAGCCTGCGTGCGTTCTTGCTGTTTGGGAAAAAAGCTATCAGGTAACCTTTCTTTCCCTGAGTTTTCTGTTACTACCTGTGGAACACTTGCAATTTGTCTGGGCTTGCGTGGCTTCTCAAGGGGAAGGGACAAGAAACTTCTGTACACACATCACTGAAACATTAATTTATCTATTACCAGGAATATTAACTGCTTGTGACTGCTCTACTACGTTTTTTTTACGTGTTAGTCAGTGCTACTAGATCTTAATACTGGACCCCTGAATGTCCATTGCAGTAAAGAAACGAAGGGGCAGTTTTAAGGGCTAAAACCTCTCAGGTGCCCACCCTCCAGGATGTATAAACCATAATTAGCAGACACGCTGCAAAATAATTCGCATGTTGTGCAGCAGTTAATTTCAGCCAGAAATGGGAACGCTTACCCTTCTCTGTGCCTGCTGGTTTTCCTCAAGCCCTTAGAGCAGTGTGAGGTACAGTAGCAAACAGAAACGACTGTTAACAGTGGCCCAGAAAGCAGCAACAAGCCTAAGAGGCTCCAGGTATGTGATGGAAGAAGTGAATAAGTAATTCTCCACCTCAGAAATAATAATAAGGAGGTTTTCCTATTTATCAGGATTTGTAAGCAGGGAAATATTACATAAAGTGGTGCCAGTGCGGTAGGATCTGCAGACAGCCCATGGGTGAGGGGTGGATGAGACTCATTGCATTCTTTCCCTGAGTTCGTTTGTGCAGGAAGAGGAAGGGGTGACCCTTTGTTTCTTGGCTTTGGGCCATTCTTTTGCAGTCCCTGTGCTGTTTTTCCTGTAGTACTGTGATACAAGAGCTGCTTTCCTCTTATTCACACCAGGAAAAATTTAAGTTACCTCAGCACGGATTATTAAGATGCTATAAAAGTTCTTGCTGCTGAAATATGTATATATCTTCTTTTGCAGGAGACAAAGAGTGTAACTTGATGATTTTCGATGCTCAAAGGACAAGCACATATCCGAACTGCTACCTGTTTTATTGCCCTAGCGCAGAGGCCTGTCCAACGAAACTAGCAATAGGACTCGTGAGCTACAAGATAACTAGAGGTAAATCATAGGAAAAAACACAGATCCCTACACTATATGGCTTTTGCACTTGTTGCTTTTCAGTAGCGAGCAGATATTTGGGGGTTGCATTTTTAGCAAAAGGTTTTAAACCAAGCAGTCTAATTGGAAAATGCTTTTCTTTCGCCTTGTGGGCAATGGACAGGGAAGTGTGTGGGGAGCATCTGCACGGGCTCAGCTTCCCAGCTGGAGTAGGAACATCGTCACCATTCTGAAATTCCCATGTATTAGATTCACAACTTCTCATAGTTTTCCCTTGCTTAAAACAAAGAAGCTCCTTCTATTTTGATATATTCTGCCTGAAGAAAATTGCCTGTATATAATGCTGAGGAGTATTGCTGAAAGGCATAGAAACATGATGGCCTTGTAGCTGGCTGCATGTTCAAAGGGTTCATGCTACACTGATGAATGCCATGCACATATAAGCAGAAACACTGAGCAAATGTTAGGCAAGCCTCAGAGCATCGCTGTGATGTTAGTGAGTAATTGGCAATATTAATAATTACTTTCTGTTTCCAGTTAGGGAACCTGAAGCACAGATGCAAAGTGACTAAACTCAAGGCTTTGTGGCATGTGGGCTGCACGCTCAGAAATGTCTCACTATCTGGGCAGTGGCAAGTTAGCTGTTGGCTGACATTGACTTGCACCAGACCTGTTGGAACTCCTCAGATAAGAAAATGAGAATTAGACTTTCCTGCCAAGGGTTCATAAGGTGGCTTTAGTGTGGCTGCTTGAGAGAGCAGAAATTTAGTACTAGGCTGAACTTTTACTAAAAAAGTGCACTTTTCCAAGAAGAACTATGCACAGAGCAACAGCAGGATATGTAGAAAGAGTATTCACATAATGTTACCAAATAATTTTGTGCAGACACAATCACACAGGAATTGGGCAGTGTGCAACAAGTGGGTTTGCGTGCCTCTAAGATTCTCATTACAACTACTCTCCTCTCCAGCCCCTTCTCCCCCAGATGAACACAGGGGATGCAAATAAAGAAACAAGAAATGTAACTGTGCTCATGCTTTTGTTCTGCAAATGGTGTAATGGCTCAGTTAAAAACTTGATTACCTATACCGTCTGTTTTGCATTTTGCATTTTTTGGCTTCTGTGAGCATTGAGTTATGAAAAGATTATGCTAGCTTATTTACATTCTGTTTCTATAATAAGCTTTCAAAGGTAGCTACCAAATGGTATCGGTACTGATAACCCTTTCAAGCTTTGTTTTTCCAAATGACAGTATATATGTGGTTACATGGAAACCCAAACTAAAAGTGGAGAAGAAAACGCTATTGGTAATAAAGAAAGCAACTTAGACTACTGAAGCCATATAGTAGTGAAATTTTGTTTTTAACTCTTCTTATGGCCTGTTAACTAATGGAAACAACCTATGACTTGTGAAGTAAAGCACTTCCTGGTTCTAGTCGCAAAGAGCTATTGCTGAAAAAGGAATAGCATTTCTGATTTCTGCTGTTCGTGTACTTCTGTGGAGCCTGGCTTTCCCACCCCACTAGGACACCCAGGCAAGACTGGCGAATTCCATCAAAGTATGCTCAGAAGGTGTTTGTTTTCAGATGCAAAAACCTGAGGCTTCATTTCTAATACAGCTTATTGGACAAACTTTTGGAGAACATCAGCAGGACCACTATGTCTTTTTAAAGGGTGGCTTGTGTAGCACCTTACTGTTTCTCACCAACAAGCGTAGCTGTTCTAGTGCCACAGCTCTGCCTCACACATGGCAGTTCTGAGCAAGCACATTTGGGAGCTTATAGTCTAACACGGAGACAACGCATACTGTACGGTCAGTGCTTCATGCGGAAAATGCGGAGCAGAGTTATTTAATGCAGGCAGTCACATTAACTAATGTCCGTGGGAGCGCCCTGGGCACAGGGAACAAGCAACAAGCTGGGAGCTGGCTTGGTGGCAGTGACCGGCCGCTTCCTTGCTGATGCGGAAATGTGCTCAGCACTGCAGGAGCAGCCCAGAGTTCGGCTGCCTTTGCCCATACGGTTTCTGCTTTAGGTAATGCCTGAGCATTTTGTTATTTCAAGTCACTTTCTAAAATCAGAGTATGGCTTCTCTGTAAGTCACTCCTTGTGGTTGGAGTCCCTTTAGGGTCTTCCTTTGCTAACAAGCTGGTGTTTGGCTGGAAGTTTAGGATAAAAATTGGTATCTGTGGTTCAAGGTAAGTTGTTGCGCTTTTGTTTAATGCGCTGCCAAGTTTTGGGTTTTTGTGTTTGTTTGTTTGTTTGTCCCATTTCAGTTTTTGGTGCAGTCAGAAGGCTTGGAGGTATACTAGAACAGCAGCCAAATAGGCTTCTCTGTAAATATAATAAAACTGAAATAAATTCGTCCCTCTGGAAAGGAAAGAGTTCCTAGCCGAAAAAAAAGTGACCGTGAAAATATCATAGACTTTTTGTTATTTCAATTCCATGGCAGTTAACAAACCTTTTTGTTTCTGCAAAAGACAGATGAGTGAGAGTCAGAACTGCTCAAGAGCATGTCCTCTTTCCAGTGCTCCCTGTGGCGGCTGGACAATAACAGTAAGGACACAAATTCTGCGCCAGTTAGCCAATCTTTCCAAGAACTTTTGGGCTGTGGCTGGATTTATATTTGAAAGGCATATTCTACCACGATACTGGAAAAACGGAATTCACTGGCTTTACCAGGCATTTTGGGAACTTGTGCAACATTTGTTTGCATTCTCCAAGCAGGGCATTAAAATCCTTGAATTATTCCCGTGGCAATTTCATGTAATTTCACTTTGCTATATGGAAAACACTCAACTAGCCATCTTAGATCCTTCATTGGCCAAGTACTTTGATCAGAAATGTAGTTTGTAACCTGTACAGGCCTGGTTCACCGCCATGTAGTATGCAAGTTGCTGGGAATACAGCCTGTTTTGTTACAGTTAAGAAGGAGTAATCCCATATAAATTAGGAACTGTTCCTACTTTATTTGTAAATGGATGTCTCAGGGACACCTTGTCTGTCTAGTAAAATATCAGAATGTGGCAGTCATGTGCATGGAACTGGAGTAAAGCACTTTTACGTGCTAATTCCAGGTGTTCCTAAAGCTTAAGAGACTTGTCATCAAGGCACCGAGACTGCCACAGATTTCCCACATGACTTTTGACAAGTCACTTCGCCTCTCTCTGCTCAGGTCCCAGTCTATAAAATGGAGATATTATTGCTACCTTTGATCATAAGCCAATTCTTATATGTGAATGAAATTATATCCAACAATCACAGGGTGTTTACATATTACAAGAAAGGGGAGTATATAATTATCTTGGTGGAAATATATAAGCCTAACAGATAAAAGTGATGTTGATAATATCCACTTCTTTATCGACAGAGACTAAGGATGGATTAAAGACAATGGGCCTACTCACTTTGCTTTTCACCTCTGAATAAACACTTACATGCATGCAATATGCTCATACTGCATAAAATTCGACCAAATTTGGATGATGGCTCTGTACAGGTGCATTACGTAAGAAGCTGCAGTCAGGGTCTGTTGTGTCCAGGTTTCAACTTGAGGGGTCTCGTGACACAGACAGAATTTAAAAGTCACTCTGCATATTTTAAAAGAAAAGATCTTGATGCCTCAGATTTATCAGTCATTACTTTCTGGACTCCATTTATATCTCTTTTACTAAGAAATGAAAATGATCAGAGTAAGCCTGTGGTAGTCAAAAATAGATTGAATTATTAAATACTGGTATTTCCTTTCTGTTTCTAGACACCCATGCTCTGGAGGATGCATCCTTCAAAAATGGATCCTCTTCATCTTCAGATGTTGGAGCCTTTATTTCTCACAGTCAGATGAGCCATCTGAACCCCACCACTGCTTTACAACTATCTGACTTTCATCCGGCAGCTGAACTCCCAAACCACATGGCCAAACACATAGACCGTAGTGAATTTCATACAGATTTGCCTAAAATACAAGGGACAAAGCATTCTGAGAGCTTAGACTCCACCCCAAGGCAGAAAGTAAATAACCTGCTGCCTACAAATGTGACTTTCTCTGTTGGAGCTGGAAATCCTTCCACTTCAGTCCCCATGACTCAGTCCATTGTCTCTGAACCCAGCAGTACCACCACTGCTCCTCTGCCTACGAATGTCACCAGGCTGCAGTCCAGTACAAGCTCTCTGCCAACTGCTGCTGCTAAACCTGGTGCCCTCACCACCACCTCAGCTACCTTTCTGCCTAGAGCTGAACCTGGCAGCCTGGCCACTGGTGTTGCCACTACTCATGTTCCTTTTTCCAGCCCCACAACTTCTGCTTTTACCACTGCGACCAACCAGGGGACCACAAACGGCAGCACTGAGTTGAGGCAGAGAAGGCCAGCCACCCCTTGGGTGCTAGCAGCTGTCTCCTCCAATGACACCAACCATGTCACCCCCTTCTCTTCTTCAGATTTTGCTCTGTCTAGTAATGAGTCCCCCACAGCTTTCCAAAACAATCATGAAGGTTATGAGCCATCTGATTCAGAAAACTACTTGCCAGAGGACCTTTTGAGGTGGGAGGGTGTCGTTCAGTTGGGAGAAAAAAGCAGCCTTGTAGCGGCCTTACTTTTTGGGGTGATATTCTTGTTATTAGTTATTGCACTAACAGGGAAGAAAGTCCACGAATCACTTCAGAAGAGATATTATACAAGGCTGGATTACTTGATCAATGGAATGTATGCGGACGTGTGATGGGAAGGGAGGGGGAAATAACTGGTCAGGAGCAAATGTGGTCATTGCTGAGGGATCTGCTCTAAAACTGAGCAGTAGATGCTGAAATCTTAGAAGGGGATGTATTCTGTTTGGCCACAAATGGGAAAGCAGCAGATGGTTTTGGTGGGGAAGAGAACTGCTATTTCTACACTGAGCTGTAATGTATAAGATTTGGTATATTAGTAAATCTTAAAAATAAACACTCAAATCCAAGGTAAGCCAAGAAGTTCTCTATTTTAAGGAGAAAAATCATCTGAAGAGCTTAACCTGTACTCTGTGACAAGATTAGTGGAATAGATGTACACCTAACGTTGAGCACGTGTGCAGCACATGAGTGTTTTCAGTGCTGTTTTGTCCTCAAATACCTTAGTATTTCACATTAGTTTGGCAATCCTATTTACTATATCTGTAGCCTTCAAGGAGTACTTAGTAGAAGAGTTTTGCATCTGAATGGGTTTAGGTTCAAACAGTAAAAATTGCACTCTACATAACATACATTGCTTATCTCTCCTTAGTTATGTGCAGTTTATTGATGTTTATCTTTAATGCTTTTGCCTGCATACATCATGCCTTTGTCATATCTATTCTTAAAATCACATGCCGCAAATTTGAGTTTGCCCTTTCCAAAGAGATTGTCACCTGCTAACCCACTGATGTTTTCCATTATGTGTCAGAGAGAGAGGTTTTATCATACCAAAGTCAAGCAAGCTGCAATCTGGCAAAGATCTGACCAAGTGACTTGGCATCTGCATGAAAGAATCCGCTCTAATCTACCTGAGTCCATAACAGGTGAGACCCACCACCTCATCGTAGAACAGGCAGAAATTTGTGAGGGGAGCTTAGCAAAACACAGTTATGAGAAAAAACAGAAAAGGTGTGGTCTCCAGTTCCCTAATATTTGGAGCGACTGAAGGGTAGTAAGAAAGTTTGAAAGGGAACCTATGCACCAGGCTGTCAACCTCGGGGAAGTTTGCAACAGCCAGTAGAAATAGATGAACGAGATGAACTTCTGGCATTGTGCTACTTCCCTCAGCAGGCTCTCAAAGAGTGGCTTGCCTCAGCACTGGACTTGCTGTCTCTCCTGAACACTGTAAGTCTCCCTACTCTCAAAGCACATCTTTTTCACTTCTAGGGTCATTTTTGTATGGCTGGCAACAAGCAAACCTGCTCCATGTTTCCCCACCTCTGGAACAGGAGCTTAATAAGGGTATGTGTAAGCACCTAATGCTTGCTACACAACTTTCAGTTTCATATTCACATTTTTTCCCCACCACTACCTAGTCTAAACCTGTTCGTAGAATGAAAGACTAGATATCAAAGTATCTGTGTGGCAGGCAGCACAATTACTGACAAACACGAAGACAGAGAAGGAAGGGTACCTCCTGAATACAAGGAAATAATGCTATTACAAAATACGAAGGGTGACTCACATCCAAGAGTTTCTTAGATCTGTCAAGGTTAGTGCAGTGGGAAGCGGTACTGATCCAAAAATGGCCTCAAGGCAGGTTTTCTGAGAGCTCCAACAATAACTTTATGCAGAAAATTCTGAAGATTCCATTATTCAAAGATCAAAGAAAAGACATTGTTCCTTATGTCAAGAAGTTGAATCCTTACTATATGGGGGCTGCAAATTGCTTTATAGATACAAAACCAGCTGGTCTTCTACATTGCTTAAGTAAGTCTGACAATGCTTAAATGAAAACCATTCTGAGTAACCTCTTAAAAGTGAACAAAATAACAAAAGGAAAGTATTTCAAGTTCAATGCACTTTGTTTAACCTCAATTTCTTTTTCTTTTCTTTTTTTTAATAACTATTTTCATGGGTCTGTGGTCAGGGAATGTGAGGAGGGGGGAAAAACATTTTGGAGAAATGAGTTAATAAAATAGTAAATACTAGGCCCTGTTGTGGGCTGTAAAACTGTAGGCACAGATCTGAAGTTGACTGTTTTTCTTTAAAAAGAAAGACAACTTACTGCAAAGCCTTCTACATTGCCTGTGCCAGTGGAGCAGCTTATTACAGGAGATGTGTTGGGAACAACCCCTGAATCCTTAGCATGTATTTCTACTGTAGTAACAGATTTCACAGAATCACAGAATGGCCAAGGTTGGAAGGGACCTCTGGAGATCATCTAGTCCAACCCCCCTGCTCCAGCAGGGCCCTCTAGAGCGTATTTCCCAGGATCGCGTCCAGGTGGGTTTTGAATATCTCCAGCGAAGGAGACTCCACAACCTCTCTGGGCAACCCGTTCCAGTGCTCTGTCACCCTCACAGGAAAGAAGTTTGTCCTCAGGTTCAGATGGAACTTCCTGTGGTTCAGTTTCTGCCCATTGCCTCTTGTCCTGTTGCTGGGCACCACGGAGAAGAGTCTGGCCCTATCCTCTTGACAACTTCCCTTCAGATACTTGTACGCATTGATGAGCTCCCCTCTCAGTCTTCTGTTCTCCAGGCTGAACAGGCCCAGCTCTCGCAGCCTTTCTTCAGAGGAGAGATGCTCCAGTCCCCTCATCGTCTTTGTAGCCCTCCGCTGGACTCTCTCCAGTAGTGCCATGTCTCTCTTGTACTGGGGAGCCCAGAACTGGACACAGTGCTCCAGGTGAGGCCTCCCCAGGGCTGAGGAGAGGGGCAGGATCACCTCCCTCCACCTGCT